TCACAAAGCCGTCGGGCATCGTACAATCTTTCACACCTTCAGTCCAGCAGCATAGACTAGAACGTAGTATGCTTATCAGAAGAAAGGAGAACCTGGACAAAATGCGTGACAAAAAAGTGGGAGGCTCATGGTATATAAAAAAACAAGGTATATGGACGAGTTTTAGTCGTTGTGTAATCGTTGCGTAATTGCGTAGAAAGGCTATTCAGTGAGCCAAAAATGCCCAAAACTGCCCTCGACTATCGCCATGGGTCAGGACTAGCGCTTGAACCTTTACATATGTATGTGCTCCATTGCAGCCTCCATAACGCTGCAAAAACTCGTCCACCCTGTACTTGGAGGTGGACGAGTTTTCACACGTTGTCTAGGCTGCACCATTTACAATGGAGCACATATGTTGCAAATATATGGAGGCCGCAGAAACCTCGGCAACCGATTTCGTCGTGACCGTACCTTTGAATATGCCCCTTTTATTATTATAAGAGAAACCATGGGTCACACTTCGACCTACAGCTTATCAGTACTTTTATCATGGTTTCGGGTGAAAATTGCTTTAAGGGGCCAAAGAAGAAGGAAAGGGTGAGGTGTAGTAAGGTGACATGCCCTGACCCATGGAACCGCATTCTTCCTTTATACTATCATTGAACTATTTGAGTTGGCAAGCGGTTTATAGGGATGCCGGATACCCATATAGTACCAGATGGCATACCAGGATAGGAACTTGCGTATTGGCTTAGAAAGGTATCGGTACTAATACTCAGATAACTTCCAAAACAGAGAGGCCGACAGTCGGTATGCTATTTACACAGAAAGACCAACTCGAGGGGTAAAACCACTCAGCTGAACTGCTCCGAAGATTACTGTTGAAGTTGGAGTCCAATAGACAAATAGGGGGTTTCTTCCTTCGGCCTTCGAGAATTTCTCTTTTATTCACTTTCTTCGATTTTTACATTTCTCCTTCACCTTCTCAATATGCACAGAGTTTCCCCATCGCAAGTGCAATGGGGAAGCCAGCGTTCTGAGCTTTGGAACTTCCGAAAGCGCGCTAGCCAGACCTCTTCACGAGAGCTCCAAACCCAAGAGATGCCATACCTCGTGCACCCCGAGCATGGACGATCCGCTAGGCTACACTTGCCCAGAAAAAAAGTGCGGAATGATTTTTGCTGCGAAATTAAGGGTTCGTATGGTCAGAGCGTTGCAATTGTCATCGGAGAACATTGAAATTTCGAGTTGCTTGTGGCATGCCAAGCCTGATTCAGCGCCCCTGTACATACACCTAATATTTCAGAATATTTTGCTCGTATGCGCCACTTTTTCTGGGTTTTTTATATGTTGACGAGGCGACAACGAGGCACATAAAAACAGCGGACAAGAGTGCTTGAGGACTCCAACTGGACGCCGACGATGACTCAAACCCGGATTGCAGGACCACCCACACAGCAGGAACTCGAGCGGCATCGAGGTGGGATTCCTGCAATACTCTCGATTCAAGATCGAGTTTACACCATGCCTCCGTCACAACCACTGTCACTACGACTCAAAAGCAGTTTTCCGCTGACTCTCCTACAGATTATCACCACTGTCACTGTTGCATTCCTGTGACAAGCGTATTAGTCGTGTGCGTGATTGCGGGTCGGTGATTTAGTAACGGTAATGTTGATACCTCAACGCCCCATGGCATTTTCCAGCTGACTAGAACTTTGTTGCAGGTCTAGTCTCTCATACAAAAGGTAGCAGCATGAGAGCCCTAGATTGAGGCTGGATTACCGATCGCGGGGGTTTCTTGTCAAGATAATCCACGCTCTCTAGAACCAGTACAGCACACTCTAAGCGGGTTTCCTGCAAAGCTCTATTCCACCTCACATTGGGCCTGCACGTAAAGAGCAAAAAAGCTGAGCTGCAGCTGAACCTGCAATAGACCATCAGATCCAATTCGATCATAGATAAATGACCCATATTGGTCAGATCATGAACGACTAGAATACAACTCAAGTTCGGGTTTCCACTGCATGCGGCAGTTTTTTATGGCAATTACCGTAATCTTCCACTGGGAGTTCAAATCTTTCTCATGACGTGACTGCGCCTAGTTGCCGTCAAATTTCCCTTTTTGATTTTGTGCTTGAAGACAACCAAGAGCACAACGCTTTAACCGTGCGCTCAAAGAGGATGCTGCTTGGGTGTCAATTCACAAGCGGAAGTGTTGGCTACTGGTACGGGTTGATTGCGACCGTTGAAGCCTCTTTTGAGGTGTTTCCGAATAAGCTGGGATCATCTTATCAGGGACCCCAATCAAACATTTTGCCCAGGTGGGAGAGAACCGTAAAGGAATTGCGGGACGCTGTGGGCCTCGTTGCAATTCTGTACCTATTATTGGGAACCGATTCTTGAGATCATATTCGATATGGCGAGCACGATACAGCAGAATAGCGCTAACAGTGACTACATAGCATGTGTTGGCAGCGAGTGGAAGTACCCTCAAAATCATTCTTCATTCGAGAATGTCAGTAACTGCAAATTCAGATTCAATTCTTTTGAAAGTTTCTTCTGATTCTAACGCTACTTCTCGACAGGCACTTCACCTGCTAATTTCGTTTTTGACCCTGACCCGCAATACCTTACCAATTATTTTAAAGGCACAACTCGTGATGAAAACTGTCCCTAAATTGTTTCTGCCTGTAATGAACGTGTGACCACTAGGGATGTTCCGGGCAGAATAATCGGTCTAGATAGGGCGTAGAAAGGGCACCAAAACTGGCTTAGCCGAGGTGCACACCTACAAGCAGGCGAATTCTCACGGCGTTATAGACGTTCTAGAAGCTCTAACGTTACTCCGTTGAGGCGTGCACATTGCAAGAAGGCAGCTTACTGAAGCCAGCTGTACACAATGGCAACGCATTTCAACAGCTAGTCCGAAGGCTCCTTCCGTGAAACTTCTATCGTAACATTCTCGTCGAACACCTAATTTTGCTCCTTTTTTTGAAGTCATACAAAATCCTGATATAAATTCTCTAAATCCTTTGATTTTTGCGTCTTCTTCCCCAACCAGTACATTAAAATTAACATAAGCTTTACAATTAAACTACTTTTTAATGGAATTTAGGAAAGCCACTAAAGCAAGCTTCCTGAAATATCTCTCTAAAAATGCAGCTGAGCCAATTTCAGAGCATGGAGAAGTTAACTTGTATCGCTTAACGGTAGGCGTCCGCTATCATTTTCTACTTAAAGCAATACCACCGACTGTATAAAAACCAATAAAAAAAACTATTTTCCAAGTTTGTTGTGGTGAGGGTGACTACCCATCAAAGCACGATTGTCCGATTACGGCAATTTACTCTAATTGGATCAAATAAAGTCGTTTGGTCAGGAGCGGCACCATAGAATTAACCGTTTTATCACCTAGAGCTGTGACATAGACCTTCACATCGAATCTGTAACCGGGTCACTACGATAGGTAATGGCCACCATGACGCGGAGCTGTTCCAGATACATCGTTCCAGGTCTTAATTAAGTTGTCGTCTTCGTCTATAGAGCTCCATTGAGCGGTACTGTCCAAAGTAGACAAGGCTCTCCAGTTGAGAAAACAATGAGTAGCTCAAAAGATTTCGATTGGAAGCATAAGAAAAGGAATTCCAAATGTTACAAACCTAGCGCGGTATCATCCTAAAGGCGCAGTGGTCGAGAACACGGTGGAGGGTAGCTTCATTATGAAATTCTAGAAAAAGCACCCGCATAGGCTAGAGGGGTTCTTGTTTGACATGACTTTTTGCCAAAGGGGTCACCATATGATCATTTATCCACCTCTTAGTGTTAGTTGGTCTGTCTTTCACATTTGATTTCCCAAAAGTTGTCGCGCTCTTTTGCGCTACACTCCTTTTGTGCAGATAACTCGGTTTCCGAAATGATTCTCTTCTAGCAAGACCCGTTCGTTGGATTTTTTTCTAGCGGGCTAGAGCGCAGAGAGGGAGAGCTACCTGACCTTACCTGTGCTTAGAGACGGTTCTAGGTAGAAGAATATGATGTTCACTTAAGCTTCAGGAGGGAAGGAGCACCGGGTGGTGTGAGTCAATTGAATATTCTACTCATACTCATACCCCGTTCAAATTTTTGCACTAATGTAAGTAATTCCCCACCCCGGCGCTCCTCCTTTTCTGAGGCATAGGTGGAAACTATATTCTTCCGCCTAGATTAGTTACTAAGCCCAGGCAAGGTCGGCTGCCCCTCTATCTCAGTGTTGTATAAAAGCGATTCTCCTCCCCCTTCTAACTGCATTCTTTTATTACTTTGTAAAAGTAAGTAATGAGGCCCGGCGTGAGCCTGGCTACCCGACTGGTTGAACGCAGAGAAGGCTGAGTTCTCCACTCCACTACCTTTGTCTAATCATTAAGTTTTGTGGAAGGACAGACAGACACACCAAGTTACTGCTTTATAAATCGACACACCATTATCACTCTATAAATAAGAGAAATCGCACTGCGTAGCACTCATAACCACTCATTACGCCTTAGTTGGATAATCAATCTAAGAAGAAATGTTTAGACAACTAGGACGTCCTAGTTGCGGCGGGAAGGTCGTCTTTTAACGTGATCTCTGTAGTGGAGGCAGAGTTCCCTTCACAAAGACCCTCGCTGGGGTCACTTTGAACTCGGTTTTCTAGCCAGGAGCTCCTCGATCTATCAGAGGCTGGTCTACACATCTAATAGTAAAGCAGGAAGGATGTTGCACGACCGGTGAGCCAGCAGATCGAGGGCCAACCAATGATGTCGATGGATAGGCCGTTCGCGACGAACGTAATGTACTTTCCTGACAACTTGCAGCTTGTGAGCACCAGCAAATGTAGCTACTCAATTCATAGCGGCATTATATAAATAAAATATTAAGGAAAACCATACCTCATTCTTTCCCGTATTCAAATTTCAGCAGCGTGAATGAAGACAGAGTAAAGATCGATAGAGCATAATTAAAATTTATTAAAGTCTGATATGATCAACAGGTGACTTGTCTCATGAGCAAGCCTTTCTCATCGGTACACGGATGCCACTCAGTTCGATCAGATGCTTCCCGTACCTCTCGTAGAGCTCACCGCCTTCCTGAAGAAAAAACATCTCAATACACTAACAAAGTCATGACGTGAATTCGGCACTGCAATTGCTACTATAAGCCATACCTGAAATGCCTCAGACGGCTCACGCATAGTGAGAGCTATTCGCCTTCCACGAATGTGATGCGACAACACAGCGTGTTTCCACTCATATCTGGAAATGTAAGATCATAATTTTGTTGAAAGCCAAATCCAAAGTTGTTGGGAAGTTTTCACATGGGAAGAAAAGCAATAAATTTCGACAACAGTGACAGTAACTGTGTCAAAGAGAATTTGGGGAAAACGGCTACTGTTTTGGGGTAAACAGGGACACATTTTTCGGGTTTCCTCAAGCAAAGGAGTGCCATGGCAAACACATTACCACGGTAATTGTTTCTAATTTCAGTTTTTAATTTTGGCCGTTGTCTCCCTCCACGGAACCCACCCAAGACATTACTGCAACCGAAACACCAAATTCTATACATACTTCAAGGCTATAAATTTAACTTGTTCAATACCTCCATGTCCACCTAAATGAGCGTAGAGAGAGTTTGAAGCGGTGATCAGGAGGGTGCTTCGGGCGCGTCCTACTGCAGTTAATCTTCTGATACTGGTATACTGATACTTGCTCGTCTCAGAAAAATGAAACCCTATCAGCAATAAGGAAACAGAATCGTTATAACAAGATTCACAGACGGTAAGTTTATGCCGATCTGTGAAATACTGGTATTTGGATAAATGACTGGAAAGGGAGCGCTTTAGTTGGAATGGCATACTAATGAATTTTTGCCCAACCATTGGCATTTTCACAAAGCTATAATGAGAGCAACTTCACCTCGCCTCGTCGGACATACATATTAGAGACCCACGAGCCATCCATATGTAGCAAAGCTAAATGGATGTCGTTAAAACAGTGAAAGTATTCAAAGATGGTAAACAAAAAGCTGTATAAAAAATCAGTTGTCTGTAACAAAAAACAAGTGCACTCCCAAAGCGGAAAACTGCAAGACTGAAAAAAAGAAAACTACAGCAGCAACTAAACATTACCTGTCGACTTTTTTCGTTCGCTAGCGTCATAATGGAATCATTCAGCAAGTTGATGCTGGAAAAGGAAAGAAAACGCCTGCTTAGATCAGTCAACTATGAGAAATTTCATAAAGTTCAAAAAAATCAAAACATTCTCCACGCCCATATCAATGACGTTCTGATAAATACCTGATCAGACGATTACCCCAAATCCATGTGTCATCAAAATGCATCTCTATGGCGCTTTTCCTGCTTTCGTCGTACTCCAAATTGCACATTTCAAATGGAACATAACTCCCCAACTTTTCCTCAGAAACAGCACGCATTTTCTCTAGTAACATGTCTGCATACTCAGGCATACCTGAAAGAGAATGTCGAAAAAACGACTACCAAAATTGATAAGCTAGAATGAACTAATGAAATACCTACAAACGTGTCCGTCTTCACCTTTTTGTGCTTAAAATTGACCTTCGGTCCAAAGTCCTGGAAAAGATATTTGTTAGAAAGAGCTCATTACCCATTTCGAGAATATTACCTGCTTGCGTCGGCCTGATTGTGATGGCACCCAGTCAACAGCATCGATCATATCCATTAGATATTTTTCTTCCGAACTTGTTAAGAAGCCCGGAACAACGATCAATCCGCCGATTGAGATACTTTCCTCATGAACAACAGAATTACGCGAGCACACAGCTGGAAATCTCGGTTTTAGAAAAACGTAACGGTACCCACGGATGAATGAATTAAGGGAGATAGCAAGTGGGGCACTACCACACACACATAACACGTCCGAGGATCGAATCCAGAGTCGATACCCCTACCGGTTAATTGAGCCTTCCATCTTTGGAAGTCAGTGAATCGGTACCGTCAGGGGAATAGAAAAACTGATTAAAACAGCAGCTGGCCACCGTATATCAGAACATCTGCTGGCCAGCGCAAGCATTGTAAGGGGTGATACGCATTCAAATGTCTTCAGGATTCTGAGTTGTAGTCGAATGCGGGGCGCATACCAAAGCATCATCAATCGACGCAGAAAGATTTCTGGACTTCAACTTGAATCTTTTCATCCACGATTAGGTCTTTTGAGTAGTCGCAACTGCTGAACGATCGCGTGGTAACGTTGCTCGTGCCAGCCTCTGCTTCAAATATCAAAAAGTGAGACGAGCGACTTGAGCAGAGGACGCACTTGCAAAAAAACCTGGATAAGTTTAGTGAGATAACTCTAGAGCCATACGCTGCTACTGAGCCGCAAGGAATGCATCAAAAATGGTGCTCAATTCGGCTTCAGAAAAAAAATTCTGGCTGCTCAAAGGAGTTAGGGCAAATAAGTGCTTAAAGCACAACGATTCCTACTAGTGGCCGGTTGAGAAAGTAGCCCTGCTAGCCCTTTTCGCCAGCCATGAGGGTGAAAGGGACTTCCATAGATACCTAAGCTGGCTATGATCTTCTAGTTACCTGCTCGAATGTCCTCTACCGAAGCAGTTGAAGTCAGTGCTGGGCACTTCACACATCGACCAGACTCTTGTTTGAAAACATAAACATCATAGTCGGAATACCTAGAAAGGTTCATTGCGGAGAAAAAGCGCAAACATTTGAACTTTCAATAAAACACACTTATCCTCCTCCATCCTCAACTTTTGCACCCTTTCGGACATCTCACAGAGCGCGCAAAAGCGAACACCCTTACAACCACAACCCTGAGATGGTCCCTGTACAGCAGTCGCCATCTGAAAAATGTCGGATTAGAAGTTTACCGCTTACAAACACAAATAACTCAAGAATTAGGACTAATTGTAAGCAGACGTATCAAATCAACATAACCGTCGTCTAAAACGTTGCGTCTGCATTACGGTCTCAAGCATTTACAGATTCCTGAAAAAGGTGGGCGTGATGTGATACAGACGCGCAGACGTATTTTCACGTTATTTTTGCGTGTTTTTTGTTTTTGTAAAGTCTGTTGCATTCATTTTTCTTTGCTCAACTTGAGTACTCGATAAATTGTATTAGTTAAGGAGTAAGTGAATTAAGTTAAGTAAGATGGATGTCGTCAATTCGCTGTCCAGTGTTCCACTCACCGATACCTGTTTTCCTGTTGCTTTCTACATCCTGTTGTTGCTTGATGTTTACTGTCTATGTTGTGTGAGCCATTCGTATTTTTCGCTAAGCGATTCCGGTTTCTCGTCCTTTGCAGCTTTGTGGCCGCGCACGCCCAGGCAGCTTATCTGGCTGTCGGTTTGTGTTTGTGAGTCACGTGCTGGCAATGATACCCTCATGGGTGAGCATTGCGGCTCCATAATTTCCATTCCACCCGCACTCCTTTGCTTATCAGTGAATCTCTCTTGAATTTTATGGATTCAAGTGACTCACTTCTATAGTCGTGATTCACATGACGACTTCATCACGCTAAACTTCAAACTATCCTAAAACTGTCGCTTTCAATTGTCGTTTTTCCAGTTTACCGTTACTTCCTTATTTGAAGCGTCCGTTTTAGACTTGGACGCGACTACACAGTTTTGTAATTTCAATTCTTCCCTTTGATTATTATAGCACTGTTTTTTTTGCAGGTGCACACGTGCAAGGCGAGCAATAAAGGAAGAGATCCCTTGCCGTGTTTCTTATTTTCATTTGATGATACCATTAGCGGATTCCCGCATTGATTATGGCCCCATCAGGGGTTAAACCTGGTGTTATCAAAGTGAGTTACCTTCTGTTTGATCTTTTTCAATGTTTTCAGAATTTCCTTTTTGTGGAAGTTGATAATGTAATCTGATTGATAGCCTGGTTTTTTTGACTACGTAAAGAGCCCACAACAATGTGAAGTATCGGATTTTGAGGGAGCGAGCAAGCAATTCTATTCATAAAGTGTCTTTTCATGAAGCGATTTCAAAGTTTTACCTTCCCTGATAAACTGTACATACCAAATTCGTGTCTACCCTTCTTTTTATAATTGATACTCCGTTTAGGATCCAGCTGTTGCTGCCCTGTTCAGTCACAAGGATCCAGAATCGCGGTATGATGATTTGCGAGAAATTGGACATGGCTCATTTGGAGCTGTTTACTTTGTAAGTATTATGCGATACTTATTTTTTCTGAGAAAGGACTACTTATGCAGTTGTCATTGTGCCGGCAATTGCATAGTTTCCACTAATAACGTTGTTTCAGGCTTTCGATAAAGAAACGAGCACTACAGTTGCCATCAAAAAGATGGCTTACTCGGGTAAACAGGCTGGGGAGAAATGGGCGGATATTTTGAAAGAGGTTTGAGATTTTTCAATGGGATTTCTGAGCTTCTGTGGATTTGGGTTGATTTGTTCGAATTGATTTTTTAGGTAGCGTTTCTCAATAAAATAAAACACCCTCATATTGTTGAGTACAAAGCATGTTTTTTGAAGGACCAGACTTGCTGGGTGCGTTTATAGTAGTATCTATAATCCTTATCTCTTGAAGCTTTTTTTAGTTCTCTACTTTTCTGCTTCAATTTTTTTGAGTATATTTATATTTGTATAGCTCGTGATGGAGTATTGTATTGGCTCGGCTGCGGATATTGTGGACGTTTTGCGTCAAGGGCTACGTGAAATAGAAATTTCGGCGATATGCAGCGAGACTTTGTCGGCTTTGCACTACCTTCATCAGTTGCACAGAATTCATCGTGACATTAAAGCTGGCAATATCCTTTTATCGGACACAGCTCACGTGAAGCTTGGTCAGTGTAATTTCTTTTTGTGCCACGAAATTCCCTCATCACATTCTCATATCGCATCCATCTCCGACACCAGCCTTCATTTGAACGTCTCATGAAAAGAACGTGGTTTTCAGCCGATTTTGGTTCTGCATCAATGTCAGACCCAGCTCAAACATTCATTGGTACTCCTTTTTTCATGGCTCCTGAGGTTATTCTCGCGATGGATGAAGGTCATTATACGGAAAAAGCTGACATATGGTCCCTCGGCATTACATGCATTGAATTAGGTAAAATATTGTCCGGATTCAGTGCGCCTCTTGTTTTTATTCTTTCTTGTTGGAATACTTCCTTTCGGGTGTATAAACGTATCTAATATTGGAAACCTCTGTTACAGCTGAGAGACGACCACCTCTATTTAACATGAACGCTATGTCTGCCCTTTATCATATTGCCCAGAATGATCCTCCAAAATTAGCCCCTATAACGAATGAGAATCAGCCTGACTGGTAAGTGTTTCCTGTTTAATGTGAAGAACTGAGTTGTTATGTTTATTAAGGTCTGACTGGTTCAAAGATTTTGTGAATATTTGCTTGCAAAAAGATGCTGAACAGCGGCCGGCTACTGGAGAACTGTTAAATGTAAGTATTGATTATCGATTTTTCCATCCACTGTAATGTACAATGTGCAGCGCATCCTCTAATAGACTTCCCGTATCTCTACAACATTGTCAAAAAATCAATCAGGAAATTTCCTAAAGAGAAGATTTCGTTCGCATGTCCGCTTTCCCAAAATGACTCATTAGACATACGTGCATCGTTGTTTGATGATGGAAGCTTACAGTGAGAGGAGCAATAGGAAATTTGATTAGGGTGCGTTTGCGAGGTTTTGGTTACGTTTACGTGCCATTCAATCATCCAAGCAGCCAAATGACACACGCAGTTTCGGATTGGTCTCAAATCTTTAAACATACTGTCTCAAACTGAGAAATCTTGCAGTCAATATTTTGATTTATGATTCGGACTTCAATCCTCTAGCACAAGATCTATGTTTAGCATCCGTTCATTACGCGCTACGACCACAAAGGAGTGATTCAAGAGCTCATATCTAGGACTAAAGCCATCGTAAGTTGTCAAAAATTTTTTTTGAACTTCAGTGTTTAATCCTTCAATTGTTGTACAGAATGCGAAGGGTGATTTGTGTTTCGTTTGCAACGTCATTAAGAGTTAAAGCTTGCTTATTTCATTGAAGCGTTCCCTACCATTGAAAGATAATGTTAAGGTTATGGAGTTGGATAATTTCCAGTACAAGAAAATGCGGAAATTAATGTATCTGGACGAAGTGGAGAACAAAGATGGTGAACAGAATCGAGGTGCGTAATCCTAGAAATCTCTACTTCATTTTCTACTTTGTTGCTCCTGTATTGTATGAATTTTGTCCAAAGAGCTCTTGTCTGTTCCTGCTTTGGCTCTTTTTTTAGTTGCGTTTTACCCTTCTTTATGTGAGATTCCTAGATCTTCCTTTTTTACTTGCATGATAGTTTGCTTAAGGTGGAGGATGTGAAGAAGTGGACGATATAGCAACCGATTCAGGAATGTTATCAGTGGAAAAAGGTTAGTGTCACTTTGTCAGAGTTGGGGCTAAATCAAGTCGACCATCGACTCGTGGTTATCTTTCGCTTCAGTTTTCGACGTTTACCTCTTTTCCTTCGAATGGATCTTTGAACGCTTCTATTAATTTGTGGTGTTATCTCCTCGTGGTTTTCTTAAAGCGGTTATCTCAGCAACTTTGTTAGAAAGGCAAAGTTACCTCTTCAGTCAGTGTTGGGTGGCAAAAAGAGTCAAAGTTTTTTCTTTATTTCTGTTTTATAGCAACTTTTGCATTAATCAGCAGCATGCGTGCACTATCCGAAGGACCTCTTCCTTTTCTATGAGGTTTATGTTTATTTTCGAATTATTTGATTTCTGGGAATTCTGTGGCATGAATGGAATACCTATAGGGAGTAAGTGTTCACTTCATGCTGAAGCGGATCCAGAAATCTGCAAGAAGAGGGCAGATCGTTAAGATCGAAATCGTTATTTTCTTTTGAGCTATGAGAAACATTCCCGTGCAGCAAACGCAGATCATATCCTCTCCTTATGTATCGCAGATGTCTCGTGGTGCTTGAACAGCATTCAGCCCTTTTTAATAAGTTGGGAAAAGTGAGTGTCGTGAGTGCCGAATTTGCCCCTCGTATATTCATTTTCCAAGTCTAAAGAATTACGAAAAGTTTGAAAAAAGGAGTGAAGCAGTTTATCGAAAGTGAAAGCAAAGGCAACGTCTCCGTTAACACCTATAGTAATTTCATGTTCAGAAGATAGCGACGATGTTTACATATCTACCTAACAGGATCAGAAGGATGTTGCTAGTAGACGTGAAAGACATCTTCACTGCTGAGTGCGACCGCTGCCTAGGTTTCATGATACATTGGTATCCTCTGAATCTGGCTGTAGTACATTATTAATTTTTCTTTTCATCTGCACCACAGTCTTAGGTCATGATTGCAAATGTTTTCTCTGGTTTCATATCCAAGTAGTCGTTGTCTCCATCTACAGTGAAGGAGCCTGAAGCCGTCTGAAAGCATTTAGACAGTGCCTGGGGGTTTTTTTTGAAAAGACTATTTTTATGTTTTTTTTTTTTATTTTTGAGGCTCATGTTATGGGAGTTTTCCGTGTTAAAATTGCCTCGCTGAAAAGTGATAGCCATCAGTGGCAAATTTTGATGGGAGGGCGCACCGGAGGATGGTATTGTTCTCGATGAATCGCTTCTTATCTTCCAGAATTTTTGGGAAAGTGGCAGATTCGAATTGACATTATTCCAGGAAAAAAACATTAATCCTTTTGACCGCAAATTCAGCCGAATAGAATGTTCCGAGAAACCTTGCTTCTTCCTTCTGAACAATTGGTCGGGTTGATCATTTGACTGAGAACTGTAGCGGTGGCTGAAAGTCCTTCGGTTCGCAAAAGTTAAGCACATCTATTGGCCTCGATGTAAAATGGCTTCATGTTTTAAATGTACTCTGTTTTGCACCCCCTGCCTATGTGTTTACAGCTACGGTCACACCTTTGTCGTAGAGTGGTCAAGAACTGTGTACCGCAACCTTGGAGTATCGCACACCTGAAAGTTCCAAATTGCCTTAATTTAATGTTTCGATGTTTACACTGAGCACCATTTGATACACGTGTTTATTTAAGGAGATTCAACGAGTTCGAAAAGCGGTTCAATGAAAAGTCTCACCTCGTTCCGTTCTCTGCAAAGCAGCAGTGGTGGTAACGGAACAAGCACCCGTCTTCCAATTCCTGCGAGCATGAAAACTGAAAACGTGGAAGGAGAGGTACCTTTTGGACTTTTTTCGAAGTTATTTTCAATGCACCCTGCACCTCAAACCTTGCAAAAGCCGGCATTCGAGTCTTGGATGTTTCCTGTTGAAGCGGCTACATTACTACATAGGCCTGCATGTCTCCACCGTGGAGAACGAAGTAGTATAATATTTTTCAAGCTGTTGTGGACATATAGCGATGCATTCCAATTTTTACAGAATCGGACTCTTATACCGGTTGGCAACGTTTCTGATGGATCGGACGCCTATAACACACGGCCTCCAAGCCCAATATCTTTAGTTAAACTCGACAGAAACTTCAAGGTTTGTACTCCACCATCCTCAACCTATGCGTGAAAGGCATGCAAATTTGTGAGAAGGCTCTCAAGTTTTTTCTTATGTTTCTCAGAGGTGCAGCTGCCGCCGCTTCTGTTTATCCAGGGGATTATTCTTTCGAACAGCGCCCGCGCACAATTTCTTCAGACCAAAAGTTCTCTGGTCTTACTTTCCTGTCTACTTTTTGCCCAGAACGCGTTTATGATGAGTTGCGGAACCTGAATAGTTTGAGTAGACACAGTCGTTTAGGATGACATGGCAACGCTGAAGAAATCTAAATTTTCCACATTACGCTCTGCAAAACTGATCTCACGGGAACAGGAAGAGTATAACAAGGAAAATAACATGTACGAGCAAATGAATGGATACAAACGTCTCCGGCAAATGCATCATAAGGAGATGCAACAGGTGAGCTTCATACGCACCTTGTTCCGAATAATGCCCAGCCTCAGGTGGTCCAACATATGCTCAACTTAAGTGCTTTAACTTAATTTTTACTGCTGGCCAAGTATTCGATAAAGTATTATTGGAAAATGTTTCCTGTATCGGCCCATTTTGATAGTACTTCTAAAGATGACCCTGCTGGAATTCCCTTCAAATACAACGGGGTAAAAAATAGGCCTTAAGTCGTACGGCTGTCTGGCTTAAGCTCTACGGCATCTTAATTCCGAGTTAAATGCTTCGTTATTGTGTTGCTTGTTACATTATTGCGTTGCTTGTTAGGATGGAACTATTTTTTCAGTTGGAAGAGAAATGTGCAGCTGAAATTGAGATTCTCCGTCAGCGTCTAGACAAGGAACTCGACCAGCTTGTTGCAGGATATGCCAAGGTCTGCATTATGCTATTCCCCTCACTTTCACATTCACTTGCTAATCGCAAGACCAGGCTGTCGTCGTAATCACTTCAAATTTAGGGTTTTTGTCCTGTTTTCACTCAGTGGCACGAACTTGCTCAGTTGCAGGAGTGTTCTTTTTGGTGTATATATCTAAACTGGTTTGTTTCAGGAACGACAACGCTTCAAGAATGCCCACCAGAGCGAAATGGATAAAAAACGAAAAGAGGTTGAGGAGGGGGAAAAGAAATTGCGAAAACAAATTCTGGTGAGTTCCAATTTTCCATTGTCTAAACTGATCTTTTCCTTGGAGTGGACCTCAGTAATGTGTCGAGCAATAAAAATATAGTTTATGGCTCTCAATTTCTCTGATAAAATGTAGTCAGAAGCATGCAATATTTTTAGACTCGTCAGGCGCACGAAATGCGCTGTTTTTCCAATTCTCAGCTCAAGGAATATCGTCACAACAAAGAGCTCGCCAAGAATGTATGTTGAACTGCCTTATTCATCCTTTCTTTACTTTGTTTTTAAATCGTTACACTGTGAATAGTGGTTGTTATTCATAATAATTTCGACAGGGTATGGTGTAGGGTAAGTTTCTTCTTCTACTTGACATACACACCTTTCATCTGAGAAGGAGGGGCTGATTGATAAGCTTTTCCCCTTTGCCCTCTACTTCTGCATAACCTGCTCAATTTGTCCCTCAGAATTAAAAGTTCAACTCAATTTTTTTTTTAAAAAGATGCATACAGACCATTCACTCCCCTTCAGAATTTCTTCAAAACATACGTTCAGCGCTATTCTTATAACTCTTATCTTATAAGTGAGGTTTTTTTAGCAATTGCAACGTTTTCTGGCTTATTTCCTCGAATATGCGAGTTCGAGGCAAAAAAAAATTTAAAAACGGGCGGAAAACAATATCATTCAGAATGTTTTATTGCACTGTGCTGTAAAAGGTAAATTAGGTGAATATGTTACTTGTAAATTTGATGGTTCGTAGTTTGAGATGTTCCAGTTCCGTGGCAGTATACCTGCAAATGCAAAGCGCAGATTTTCAGTAAAAAAAGCTAGAGAAAATGGTGCTCCCCTTGTCATAGGAACAATTCATAATCTCGAAATCAGCGGGGTTCTTATTACCAGGTTTTCGTTTCTTAAAATCAACTACGAAAGGGGCTAATTGAAAGGGCTCATATAAATTTAGTCAAAAGTCTTCCCGAAGTATGTTGGCATGGTTTTGATGTGGCAGAACCCGTTCTTTGATCAACGTGTCGAACAAATCGACCTGGCGAAGTGCCTGTACTGCAACTGTATAGGTCATCCAGTTCAACGTGTCGAACAAATCGACCTGGCGAAATGCTTAAACTGCAACTGTATAGGTCATCCAGTCGAGTATTCCCGTGAAACCAACTGCACTTATTTCTTTTTCTCCCATATGTGGCGTCATATTGTTTAGTTTATGCTTAGCATGATTATTTCAGAGTTTGAAAGAACGTGGATTATCGCGATCTGCCTACGAGACAGCTGTAAAAGACGTGAAAGCACAGCTGACGCGACAGAGGACAAACGCCGAAACCGCTTTTGAGGCAAAGCTTCGTGCAGAACTGGAGACGGAGCTCGTTAAATATCGGCGATCCCAACTTTTGATGATGCACAGTAACGAAAAACGGCTTGATGAAGAAGTAAGCCTAGTTTTCTTAGCATTCTACACAGCGGTCTAAAAGCTGGACAAAGTATTGCGCCACTAAACACCCAGTCTCAGCTGACCGTAGATAAGAGCCACAAGAAAAATTAATCAACAGAGTGCCCAAAATAACTCAAGTAGTCATCCAGATATTCGGGGAATGGGGAGAGAATCTATTTTTTCTTACTCAACTTTCATCTGTTGTAATCTTCTTATCCGTTTTAGGATCTTAACGTCTTGGAACGTCAAATGGATAATCGTCACGCTATGTTGCTACGCCATCATGAAGCAACGAGGGACGTCGAAATCGCTCATCTGAAGGAGACACAAACAATGAGAAAACGTCATCAGGTGCTTGAGAGATCTAGAATAATCTCTTTGAACTTGAACCTACCCTTTGCTATACCACCTTGTGACTGCCATCTGCTTTGACCCTTCGATCCTGGCCAGATCAGCGACCTGTTGCTGACTTTATCTTTCTTTATCAGCTTTGAAGGATGCTTGAGGACAAGCAGAGGAGTAGAGGGAGAACACTTGTACTCATGTACCCTTTTCCGTCGGGGATGTTAAGGAAGTGCTTCAGCCTGTAACTGGATTCTTCTCCCTCACTTAATCACCGTTGTCTTCAGTGCTGATTTTTCAACTTATCGTGCCATCATTCCACAGTGCAGCAATTCTTGTGACTAGCTGACAAAATTCGAGAAGTTCTTATGGAGTGAACAAAAAGCCTCTAAAGCAACCGTCAAGCTCTTGAGATAGTCGCTGTTTTCATAGTACGGGTATAAGGCCTGCAAAAGTTGTTAGGGAAAAGTTTCACATCCCTCGGAGCGAAGCTTCCTGGTGTCGTTATGAGCCCGATCCCTGTCCACGCTTCTGCATTAAAAAACATTTTCCTTACAAATTTAACAATCAGTGCCTTTATATGGCGATTTTTGGCTTATGTGGTACTATTGCGGCGGTTTTTTTTCACCTTGCCATCTTCTTATATATTAGTGCCGCATCAGAATTTCGATCGCCTGGGTCTGCTGCTAGCGCTCAAGAGCTCATCCTTGATTAGCGGTTCCCAGTCCGTTATTCTGAAGTAGCAAGCTCGACGCAAATAGAATACTTATAAGGATGCACATGCACATCCAAGCAGACAGAGATTGCGGGACGTACCGGCTGCGGCATGTCCATTTTGAATAGAGCTCAAAGACTTGACTATACAAAGTTCGGAAAATTTGGCTGAACAAAGGGAGGCCCAACAGATAACATTTGTCGGTTGAGGTTGATCCGGATAAACGAACAGTAATCTCATTCTTCTTTATATGAAGGGACCACCTACGAGACTCTTCACGAGATACTTCTATGATACATATTTTCGGAAACCAGATGTACCTAACCCGACCATTACGTCCTTCCCAATCCCTGTTTTGATTCTCTTTTCATTCAGATTGAGTCAGATTCAGATCATACAACATGAAGCAGAGTCAACGAATCAGACAGAGTACACAAGGAGGAAAACTGAAGACTTGAGGAAGCGGCACGCTAACCAGAGCAGGCAGCAGCCTAGAGAGCTGAAGGTCTCTATAAGTTTTTCTTCAGGAACACATCTTGTATAACTTTTTGGATCGTTGTCGAGGGAGCTTTCTAGTAACATTTTTCGGAATTCCGTTGAAGGGTATAAGCATTTTCAGCTGAAAGAAGCGCAAATCCGCAAGCAGTTTCGACAAGCTGTAAAAACGCAGGCCAGACAGTTTAAACTGTATCAAACGCAATTGATGCAAGCTGCTCCAAAGGAAGAACATAAGGAGATAGCAATGCAGTTGAAGGAGGTTACCCTTCTTTTATCCTTTCCTTTACAACCTTCGATCTTGTAGGATTCCTTTAATTCAATTTCTCACAATACGAAGGTTTCGGAGAAGCTGACAATTTTATAGTTTTTTCCTCGTCTGTCCCCTTCCGCNTCTTTTTACTTTCGTTATCAATAATTGATGGTCACTGAGTAACGATTGGCAGGCGTGCCATCAATTGTGATATCACATTATTCTTTGATCATCCTTCCCTNTTAAGACAGCATTTCAAAAAGTACTATTATTTACGCCAAATGCTGGGTAATCTTATTCATCAGCATACTAATAGTATTAGAAGTCTTCTTTCAAATACTTTGGGATTCATACTATCGTTTCAGAAGCAAAAACACCGCATCGCTTTGCTGACTTCCCAGTATGAGTACCAAATCGAAAGCATGGTGCAAGAAAAGACCGTCAGTTTCTTTTTAGCCTTTTAGAGTACATAGTAGCCATGTTTCGCTTCATTTCTGGAGTTTGCTTTTCTCTTAATCGCTTTCGTACTTGTTATAAATTATTTATTGATTTATTTTTCACTTCTTCAGGGCAAACTAGAGTCATGGCAAGAAGAAGAAGCTCGCATATTACATGAGCGGCTGGCAAAGGAATTGGACGAGTTGAAGGAATATCAAGGGAAGCAAAGGGCTCAACTAGAGAATACGATTGATAAGGTGATCAATTCTTTTGAACTTGTTGTAATAGGTGAACGATTTGTAATTTATTTTTGTCGTGCCTGTACTGGCAAAGGAAGATTGGGTTGCTAACTTTGAAAGTTTGCCAACAGGTCCAAAGGATGAAGTGTTCTTGCAAAGGTGACTGTGTGTGGTAACCACTTACTGTAAATTTGCTATAACCTTTTACAACGATGTCCAAGTGCGACGGGTTTCACGTACTGAGCACCAACTTTTCTCCCTTTACTTCTACCGAAAATGTTTATTGGACGGCTATTTCATTCTAACTTTTTATTCTTTCTATTTCCTGATCTTTTTACTTTCGTTATCAATAATTGATGGTCACTGAAATTGTGATATCACATTATTCTTTGATCATCCTTCCCTTCGCTTAGTATTTCGGCCTAAAACCAATATTCAACAATGTAGCTAACATCGAGCACGAAATTGTCTCCTTCCAAATCGTCAAAAGTGGATCAGGCTCCAAAATTGAAATTCAGGAAAGGACGGCACTGGACGAACGTATAGCCCTGCGGCGAGCTATGCTGGAACAGCGTTTCAAGGAAGAACGTGAGGACATGCAGAAGCAAAGGGAAACACGAAGTCGAGCCACGGCCGAAAGGCATGCTGCCGAGGAACGCCAACTTGCTGGCGACGGTGGTGGAAACTCGTCACATACGACCGCCCTCTGATACTCTAACCTCCTTCAAAGTGCAGGTAATTAGGCCGAGATGATCGGCATGCTTCTCCTTCTCTCGTTTTTCTTTACCGTTCCATTCACCTCGATTTTGTTTCGCGGTACTAATTTTATTGTCGAGCTTTGCTAGTTGAGTTTTACAATTATTATGAGCCTTATTATAGTTGAATAGGTATTGACAAAGTGGTCTTCTAGTCCTAGCTCACTCTACCAATCTTTGTTCGTGTGGCAATATGTTCATTATTGTTTTCCTGGTGAATACTGCGTATAGTAGATGTGTAGTGCTGCGATTTCATGATCAGAATATGGAGCTTAACACATTGTTGTGAATATTGCGACCAGATTCTTATATTATTTTTATATATTGAACGGAGCAGAAGCAGTACCAAGCACTACGGAGTAAATTACAAGTGGGAATCAACTGGGAAATGGAACTGTTGATTGTCTTGGTTTTGACTCCGTATGCTGAATGCATCTGCTTTGTTTCACAATGCATGTGTGGATATCGAGAGGGTATAGTTCTATCACGAACTCGTAGCCTTGCCTTGTCTTCTTTTCGTTGATGAGTATTTGGAGTATTCTGAAGTTTGTTTATTGCATTACTTGAAGTCTGGCAAGATCCGTCGCTTTTCACCACGTCCAACGCGATAATTGTCCCATAAGCGGATATCCTCAAGTGGCACGGGCCCCTTTATGACGTATTTTGGAGCCATTGTAAGGAAATAGGCGCATATTACGTTGACCAAACCTTTATTCACCATCCACACTTGCCATTTTTCTTCTCCTTTATCTTTCAGCGTTTAGTTTCACCTTTCTGTCAACGATATCGTATCTCTTCCTTGACTTTTTTCCTTGTCGATCTTTATTTTTTACGCACACTCTCACTCTCACCCTCAGCTGCAGCCTTTTCCTTTCTATCCTTGAATTGGGTGAAGATTTCTTCGTTCATGTACGCTTTAGATGCACGACATCGATGTTGTGTCGATCGTGTCAAAGATGTGATATTAGGAATATTCATCCGTTTTTCTTTTGCTAAAGGCCGACGCTTGAAGTAAACCAAGAGATACGGCGCAATAACTGAAGTATTCTGTCATCGGGGGTGAGCTTTTCGATTTTCACCATTGAGGATGTTACAGTTTTGTCATTCTCTCGTAATTGAAAGTCATCTTCTACAAACGGCTTTGAAACTCCATATATTACCTTCCAATATTTTCTACTTGTTTGCTTAGCAAAAAGAGCTTTGGGATCTCGCCATCTCCCATTTACTTCGTGCGTATCGGCGTCGGTATTCTGATATAAGATATCAAATCGATTGTATTGATAGGGGCCTTGCGTTTTTCTTCCTGTAGGGGACTAGCACTTATGCCGTGCTTGCAACAACGCTCTATTTTTGTAATAATTTATTTGCGTATTGTTTTGAATAAATGCATATTATTGTAAGCGAATAAATGATTTTGATGTCAGGCTGATTATCTCAAGCTTTCGGTTCATTTTAAGGTAAAAGAGGTCATGCCATTGTACGAATACCGGCTCGTAATTTGTCAGTTTTTGCTCCTGAGGTGCTTTTTTTTCGACCTACTCCACAAACAAGTCAGTGTGCTTCATAACGTACTGATTAATAGGAGCACTTTTGGCTCTAGAGAGAGTGTGAACCCGTTTTTCGAGCGCAGTTCTTTTACATTACCCTCTTGGCACCCAATCTCTATTAGGTTTTTTGTGGTGTCTGTACACATCTTCATTGCCTTTTTTTTCCAACGATCCTTGATTTGCACAAAATCATATGATAAACGCTCTCCCCATTCTTTTTTTAGCCCCTGGTTTCTGTGTTTTTGAAATATTCTCCAAAATTTCCTCTCTTATTGTGCTACCACATGCAACTCGTTCACTAGCGTTACTACCTATTGCTCAGATCACTAACTCTTTTTGTTCAATTTGCCCAAATATTATTTCGACTTATTGTTATTTATAGTTCCCCTTCTCCTTCAACTCCTGCGCAGTGGTCTTTCCGTTTTGCCTTTTTTTTTTTTGGAAGCCATTGATAAAAATATCCTTTTATCTCAACTTACCGTTGTTTTTCGCGGTGTTGGCAGCAGAAAGAACGGTATTGCTTGCATCGCTTGGTGGTAAATTGAAATGAATAAAATCAACCCGAGGGTTCCCTTCCAACTCTAAACATTCACCTTTGAACGCAAGGTCAAAGAGCGCAGATTACCGATACCTGGCTCCTGAGGACCATGGGGAGACAACTAACCAAGGATAACCCATCACTGCGAGCGGATTGAGTTTTCAACCACCCATACGTTCAGAGGGTTCAGTGCGAGTGTGGGTGGTTCTTATTGCTAACCCAGTCTCATTCTCGAGTTATCATTCCTTGGAATGTTCTCTTTGCACACATAGTAAACGCGGCCAGTAAAGGTGGTAAAATGGTTTCTGCCTTGTTCAGCATGTCACAATACACTTATTACGATATTTTGAAAGGCCATTTCATTTTCTTGTGGGGATTTAAGTATTGGCAGCCACCTCTTGCAGTAGTCCGGCTTTCGACTCTGGCCGGAACACGTAGTCGTGACGCAATACAGTGCAGTAGCTGCTTACCCATACGTTTAATCCCCTGCTTCAAGGTCTTCTTCAATGCGCCGTATTCGATGGTCCAGGATTTGTAAAATCGAATAAGCTTTGGTTTGAAGTATGACGTATGTGAAATCCTGCACTGGCTGCTTTCTGAAGGTACAGTTCTCGATAATTTTGGGTAATCGAGATTATGAGGATGAATGGAAGTTAAGGTGGATAATGGTGCGATGAAGGCAAAGAAAGAGCGCGAATCGGTTTTCGCAAAGTGATGAAAGGCTTCGGAAAAATCATTAGAAAGGGGGCTACGAACAGCTGACTACAGTATACAAAATGTCCTTCAAATTCTTTCACTCATAACATAAGTCAACAAGAACACTAGTTACAGCAGAAATAACCTACCTTTTCCGGTTTTTTGAGGTATTATAAAAATTGGAGAAAGGATCGCTGCAGCATAAAGAATACGAAATATAATAGAAAAGGAGAAAAAAAAAACATCGCTACACTATTCGGCTACTAGCCGATTGCATGCTGAACGTGTGGGTCCTAGTACGAATATTGCAGTCTGTATCGCCTCGACACGTCATCGGTCGATGGGCGTGGAAGCCGGACGATCCGCCAATGGGGCTACCACTATACCCTTGCTGTTGAGTTTTTGAACCCGACAGCGTCCTTCCAGATACTCTTAAGGGCCACTGGATATTCTTGGGGAGAACCCAAATAACATTTTATCGTGAAGTGTGCATTCAATGCTCCCATTTAGATGAGGTGAAGTTGTGACGGCTTCTAATTTGCATCTTTGGCATTTCCCATACGACACCTTATTTATGTTGAGCAACTAGTGCAAACTAGACCGTCGCGACTTCGAGCAGCTGTCCTAATTGGAGTTGTTCCGCTGTTCCGAGAATAGACCTTGATCAAATGCACGTCAAAGGTTACGGTACTATTCATATTTCACTTCAGTTAGGTGAGAAGAGCGAAGGAAATGGGAAATACCGCTGTAAGATAATACACTGGTGTGCAAAACTTAGGGACGAAAGCAACTTTCGATCACTGAACCTCTGCCAGACGACAGAGCTCGATGAAATTTATACCGTACCAAAAGAGGATCATTCCGGTATTGTACAGGAAGTAACTGGCAGAAAATCGAAATAGGACTAGCAAATAAGGCATTTTTATTGAAAGGTATCGATTACACATAGTTCCTCACAACTAATCTTAGTACTTCAAAGAAAGCGACGCGGTTCCTAATAGGGTATGTGATCACCACGGACAGCAGTAAATGCTCTGCAATGCGATCCCATACTTTCTACGAGTTTGGAAATGAGTTATTGTGGTAGGGCATCCCACTCACTATCAGCGCAACTGACAATTACTGGATGGTCAGTGGTGCGTTTGGACGTGCTGTAATGCCTCTACCCAGTGCATCCTACACGTGCTTTATGGGA